CAATAGAAATGTATATTAAATTTAAGATTAATCATGATTAATTTACAGCTACTTTGGGATTAATCAGATTAAAAATATTAATCATTTGACAGCATTAATATATATACATACACACACACTGCTCAAAAACATAAAGGGAACATTCAAATAACACATCCTAGATCGAAATGAATGAAATATTCCCATTGAATAATTTGTTTTGTACAAAGTTGAATGTGCTAACAGCATGTGAAATTGTTTGTTAATCAGTGTTGCGTTCTAAGTGGACAATTTGATTTCACAAAAGTTTGACTTACTTGGAGTTAGCGTGTGTTGTTTAAGTGTTCTTTTTTATTATTTTTTAGCAGTATGTATACAGTATATTCTGTATAAGTTAACAGTTCTCATCTCGACAGATGGCTTCCTGTTTGTGGAAGATCTCCTGGCTCACCCACAATTCCGCTCATATTCATTAGAGGACATCGAGAGGGTTGTAGCCACGAACGAAAAGCAGCGTTTTAAGCTTCGCTCCCACCCAGAAGATGGCCGGCTGCAGGTTCGGGCCAATCAGGGTCATTCAGTACAGGTGGGCCAAACACCGAACTGTCAGAGATGATAATGTGGATGCCCTTTTTTGAGATGCCAGTGCAGCGGTAGAACAGTTCTCTTGGGACCAGAAAGTCACCCCTTCATGCCCACATGCTGTGGTGTCCTTGAGCAAGACACCTAAACCCCAATCCCTCCCTGGGTGCATAAATAACGTGTTATGGGTTAAATGCAGAGGACAAATTTTGTTGTTGTTGTTGTTGTTGTTGTTGTTGTGTGCAATTTACTTCACTTTTATGTGATTTGCAGAAAAAGTGGCATACAGCTCGCTGTTACACTAAGAAACTATACAACATAAAAATTTACAAACAGCGGCACAGCCTTGAGGGCAATGCTTATCTTAAACTCCCCAGGATGAAATGTCAACTAAGAGCTGGATTTGATCCCACCCCCATCACCCACCCGTGTTGGACCCGGCCTTGGAGGAGGAAAATCTCTGAACTCTAGCGAATTGATTAGAGACAATAACTACAATAACAATAACTGCCCCCTCCCCCCTTCCTTGAATGTACAGCACCTTGTGAATTTATTTCTGTGAAAGGCACTAAATAAATAAAACTTTACTTACTTACTTACTTACTATCTTACCTATATTTATATATTGTATTACAATCAGTAGTTAAAAAAGCACAACTTGATACTTCAAAAACTGTAATAATTTTCTTATTAACTTAGGCAAACTTCTATAAACTCTAATATCACTCATGCTTCTTTGACCAGGTTGTGGATCTGGAGCTAAAACCAGTTCTAGCGAGTTCTCCGGACTGCCCAGCTGAGGCTGTTCATGGCTCCTACCTGCGCCACTGGAGCTCCATAAAACAGCAAGGCCTGAGCCGCATGAACAGGACTCACATCCACCTGGCGTCGGGTCTGCCGGGAGAGGACGGCGTCATAAGTGGTGAGTACTCTTTGTGTTTGAGAAATCCTCTTATCTGAAATGTTTTAGAACAATTTGGGAAATGGTTTTCTTTTTTTTTTCCCCCACAGGCATGAGAGGAAATTGTGATCTCGCCGTGTTTATTGATGTCCCCAAAGCCCTTGCTGGTAAGACTAGCCAATAATGGCTGCTGTCCAACACCCTACATCCACCCTGTGTGTAAAAAATCAATCTCTTACAAGTGTTTTATGCGTGTGTCTGACTTGTACAGATAGTATTGAGTTTTTCTGGTCAGAGAATGGTGTGTTGCTGACTCCAGGCAACAGTGAGGGTAAACTTCTCCCTAAATACTTCATCCGGGCCCTGAGACTGAAGCCTACAAGTAAGGAAAACTAAAGCAAACACAGTATTTATTTCTGGATTTTCTTTTTTTAATCTATTAAAACCCAATATAATACATTCAAGATATATTTTTTGTGTTTCATTTCAGGAAGTCTTCTGCCACTGGAATAACATCAGCTAAAGTTGCTGCTTTGTCAGCCTGTTTACGTCACATGGTTGCTTTATATTTATTTTCGTCTCCTTCGCAACACTTGGTTTGCAACAACATCCTGCTGAACCGCTCAGAAGGAGTCGTTTTAAATGGAACGTATCTGTTAAACATTGATTCCTCTGTCATTACTGACAAGGCGGGTGCAAATATAACCACTATTTTTTTATACTTGAACTTAACACAATTATTAATAATGATTTTCCAACAATCAAACTTTAATAAAAACATTACGCACAATCTTAAGCATCTTAAACACTCAGAGAATGTGTTGTGAACAACTCTCAGCTACCACTTCCAACTTTTAGATCAATATTTGTAAAATTGACTCAGTTATGGCCATTTTGCACACGTGTAGGCAGTTTCATTAAAATCCATCCACTTGTTCACTATATACAGTATTTTCCTAACAAACAGGGTTGGCTCTAAAATAATGTGAACGTTTTCTGTAGAAGGCACAGCTAACCACGCTTTGCTAACTCATAAACAGCTAACTCAAAATGTAGCTTCATTATTGAAAAACTGCTAAACATGAAAAATAGCAGAAGCTAACACTAACAGCTAGGCTGACACAAACCTGTTGATGTTAGCTTGTTAGTTAGTTGTAGGAGATTTAAATTAGTCAAAACCACTTTTAGTGGAAGCTAATTGGTCTGCTAACAGTTACAAAGTTATTGAAAAAGCTAATCTACTGAAAGTTAGTTCCACTGTTAGCTTTTAGCTGATTAGCAGAACCATGCCCTCCACTGGAAGTCTTTTAAACAAAGATGCCATTCACTGAGTAGCACTTAGTAGGCCTGTGTGTCATGAATAATTCTCAGCTACAGTCATATCTAATTTAAACTTATTTTTTGTGTTTTCTAGTGTCAATTAGCTTGAATCGTGTTGACTCCAATAGATAATCAGTTGTAGATGTAAATCCAATGATTAGTTTCGGGAAGTTTCAATAAAATCTTTGCAATGGTTAACAAGATATTTTTGTAGCAGACAAACACAAGCACACACACATCCTTGTACTTGCATCAAACTGAGGACTTTGTATTGACGTCCATTCATTTTTATAACTGCATTTATGCCTAACCCAGACATTTTCCCCTAACAATAACCATTACTAGGCTATTCCTAACCCTAACCTGAACCAAAACTTAATTTACACCATACATCTAAACCTTTTTTTTTTTACATACATACACCATACATCTAAACCTGATTAGTACAGCTGCAAAAAAAAAAAAAAAAAAAGAGGACCAGGAAAATGTCTTCACTTCCCAAAAATGACCTCACTTTGTTGGTTACAAACAACATAGTTCTCACTCTGTAGCAGAAACAACTACACACACACTCACACACTCCACACACTTATAGACAAACACCTTATCATTCGCCTTTGCCTGAACTGCTGAGATATTTTACCAGGCAGAACAAACCGAAGACACAGAGGATGCAGACGATGTGGTTTAACTGACAGCCTCAGTTCTAAGATATGGAAACACACACACACACACACACACGCACATTTGCAGAGTGTGTGTGAGGAGAGATAAATAGTTGAAGCTTTCAGGAACAATGAGACTCAGCAGTGTCGTCACAGGTCATAAGAGAAGAAACATTTTGAATTGGTGTGTTTAATTTTTATTATCAGTTTTACACTTTAATTTTTTCATCTGTGATAATATACTGTAGCTTCTTCAGTTTGTCGTTTTGGCAACGAGTCTGCCAGTAGGGACAAAGCAAAGCTAATTACAAACAAAAAGTGTCTTGCTGTGATTATTTGGTAGTCCTATAAGTTTGACTGCTGAGCCCTGCTGATCCACAGTTTCGCTCAGCAGAAGTCCTTCAGGAAGGGAATCAACATGAGAATGTGTTAACGTGGCATTCATTGATGTAGCTTATAATAAACTTTGCTTGGTGAGAAAATCATAAACTGACAAGGAACATATCTGCAACAAACAGAGTATTAGATTTTAATCTTTACTGTTACGGTTTATTCTGGCTGCCCGGATGGAGGTCTTCTGTCATGAGTGGATCTTTGAAGGAAAAAAAAAGAAAAAGAAAGAATAATGTGTGTTTCAGTCTCAGAGAGCTTCATGGCCTCCGGTCAGCTTATGGAAGAGCTCTTCATTGATTGTGTCGCTCTTCTCACGGCTGCGTGTCGACATGAAAATGTAGCCTCCGATAAACTCGTGAACAATTTTACAGTCTGCAGTCACACAGCTAAAGGCAATGTTCACGTTCCCTTCGAACTCTATGGCCACCTGAAAACAACAACAAACAAACATTTGTTTAGGAAGCAGCTTCAGGAAAAATACATTATATTGGTAAAATATAAAGTAACATTATACTCAGTGGTGGGTTAAACTAACCATACTAAAAATATAACTTTTGCTAACGCTAAACATGTAAAGAAATTAGAGGAAGCTAACATTAAAAGCTTATGTCTAACCGCTAAGATGACTATTTTTAGTAGTGAAAAAGTTAATCCGCAAAACAAAGAACTTGTTTCGCTGTTAGCTGATTAGCGGACCCACCTACCACTGATTATACTATTAATTAGTGTTTCACTTCTTGTCACTTCTGACTCTTCCAGTCATACAGTCAGCGTTATTTGAGAACATTGAGAAGTTAAATTCCTGCTTAGTTTAAATGTCAGGAAACATGGTTTCTGTCTCTGTTTTATGTTGCACAGTTAGTTTTAAGTTAAAGGCTTTTATCGCCTGTTGCCAAAAAAAAGGGGGAAATGGATGAAAATGTTTTGGTGACTGCGTGCATCTCTATTTATGTGTCTGTTAACAAAATATCTCAAAGTTTTTGACAAAATTTACAGAAACCCTCAGACAGTGATCAATGGTTTTACATCTACAACTGATTTCACTTTCGGAGTCATACCGATTCAAGATGGCCGCATTTATGCATTTGCTTCATCAGTTATGTCCTGTTTCCTGTGAACTTGGTTTAGCTTTACTTCCAGGATTCAGTTTTTGACCTGTTTTAGCTGCAGCTTCGTCAGATTGTTCTCTCAGCTTCAGTTCTGTCTGAGTTTGGGTAACATCTTGATTTCTATCGTCGCCCCTTTTTTTTCTCTGACCTGTCGTATGTCCCAGTTGACGTTCCACTGCTTCATGTTGTTGTAGCGCCAGGTCTTCACCACGTCACCCACTCCCAGGTCGATCCGGATCAGCCGGTTGGGGGCTATGCCCAGTACCTCGTCTTTTCGACTGCCTTTAAACCTGTTGGGCATAACTATGTTTTTAACTATTCTCTATTACAGAAAAATAACAATGTCTTGGAACATTCACTTTATTTTTTGCAGCTTCATATTTAGATCAAAAAGCAGCTTGCCATTATAAACTGTAGCACATTCACTGCTGAAGTTTTATCAGAAAGGATAAAAATCTTCCACCGCACACTTTTTCTCAGCTGAGAGCTTTTAGAGCCTTCAGGTGAAAAAGTGTCAGCATTTTATATAATCTTCCCATTACACACAAAAAAATTACCTTTTTCTGCTCTGTGGCAAGAAAATGAGTTTTTGAAAGTTTTAAACTGGACTTTAAACCTAACCTGACAACAACGTATGAGAGTCCAAAATCGGGCAGGGCCTGCCAGATCTGCAGGAAACGCATCAGTGCGTCCGTCATTGAAAGCTGAGCCACGTTCTGGTACGCGTCCAGGATTCGAGGGGTCAGCTGCAGAAAAAAGCGTCAGACATAAATTGAATAAAGGGCCTGTGACGTGCTTATTCTTCAAATACAAAAAGTCAAAGAAAACATTTATATTTAAGAAAATTAGCATAATACACATGATTTTACCCATTTTGTCTCATAAATGGTTTATTTTCTCTTGAATTTGGCTCAGCAAAGTGAAACAGGAAGTGACATCAAAGGGCAACTCTTTAAGAAAAGAAAGTAGTTTTTTTTATTGAAACAATCTTATTTAAACTCTTCAACTCTGATAGTGACTCAAAATAATCTAAAGAAACACCAGATTCTTCTCTAATTATTGTAGCATCGCTCTGTTTACATGCAGATATTCCCCTTTGACATCACTTCCTGTTTCTTCACATGCAAATATCTCAACAACTGTTCATCTCAATGGCATGGAATTTATTTTGCAAAACGTTATCAATGTTCTCTTTCCAAAAACACATTTACATTTATTACAAAAATTTGATGCCACAGGCACTTTAAGTTAGATTTGTTACTTGGCACTGAGCTAATTAAAAAAAACTATATATAAATCGACTATACAATATTTGGTGTACCTGTTTGGGCTTGTACTTTTTATGGTAGCGTGGTGACACCAGACTGTGAGTGTTGATGCTTTCGTCGTTGGCGGCTGCATTGGATCCGGAGTTGGTCTTCTGCATTTTCAGGAATGAGCGGATGCTCTGGACCTCGCTCTGGAAGCTGCTGTCTGCGAGACTCTTGCCTTTGGAGGCCAGCCGGCATGCAGCCATCCACTGAGCGTACTGCTGCTCCTGCAAACACAGAGGGAGAGACGTGTGTGTGTGTGTGTGTGTGTGTGTGTGTGTGTGTGTGTGTGTGTGTGTGTGTGTGTGTGTGTGTGTGTGTGTGTGTGTGTGTG